TTAGAGTATTTTCTCACAATCGTTTTCCTTGCTAAGAAACCTAAAAAATCAATACATGCCTCTCTTGGGCAAAGTCTAGTGTTTTAAATAGGTTTTAGGTCTAAAAATCCCGTAATTGACACTTTGGTCCCCGAAGTTTCTGCGCCTGCCGCGGTTCTGACGCGGTCGCGGTCGAACCGCGGCCAAACACCCTCGGGGATTCTCAATCTTCTGCAACTGCTTCCCACCGCAGTTCTGCCGCGGTCGCGGTGGAACCGCGGTGGATCCAATACTCTGAATTCCTCGGCCTGTTTTGCATGGGTCACTTGGGAAATTTCACAGTTGGCCTCTTTTTCATCACTTTTAACTCCAAAACTGCTTCTTAGCCTTCCTTATACATATATCACCTACAAATCATGAAAAGCACTAATAAGAGCATTTTGTCATCACTTTTAGCATTAAAACTACACAAGAAGGTGATTATTTAAGGTGTGATTATAGTCAAATTCACCTATTATCAGCACAAGTGATTTGTATATATATACTAAATATATACATATATATATTTACCGACAATTATTTTGAGGCTAATATATTGCGTAAATCTTAAAATATTTTTTTCCTATATAGGTATGTGATGTAAGATTTCTTAAAATGGGTATTTTAGCAAATTGTTTTTACTGCCTGGACGAAGGGCCACGTGATAACTCTAGATTAAATAGATCCACTCCTATATTAAATTACTCGAATCCTTTAAGACCCACCCGTAACCCGACCCAGCTTCCCCTCCCTCTTAAAATAAGGAGAATCTTATGAAAATGTCCAAAATAAATCTAATCTTACCAACCTCTAGCCATTAATCATAGACTTACCAAAACTAGTCAAGCACATATAAAAATTAATAACCCAGATAAATACGAATTTTTTCTCTCCAAGAATCACACACAAAGATCTCCTTCTATATTTTTATAGTGTGATCAGCAACATTAGATGCAAAGACGGAAAGGAAATTTTATGCATGAGGTAGCAAACAAGGTGACGAAACACAAAGAAAAAAACTATACAAGATCCAAAAACCTAAGGAAAGGGGGACTTTTTTCAATGGGTATGGTTGAAGTTTATTGAAGACATGTGGAAGTTTCAATATACAAAATTTGAGGAAGATTAGAGGTGATTTCGACTAGTTTTGAGTCAAAATTCGTAGTTGAAATCGAGTTTAAAAATTCTCCTGCGACACATGTATTACGCATGTATCTCACACACAAGTATATATGGATATGCATTGTGATGCATATGTAATACACATATCATCTTTTTTTATGTTCATCTTCTACTTCAAATTCAATTCAAACTACCTCAAAACTCTATCAAATCATCCCAAACTTAGACAAACTTCTTAAGATGTACCCAATCTATTCCGACAATACACACTCAAAAGAAAGCAAAAATTTGATCCTTTTTTTATATTTATAAATAGCTATTTGGCATATTGTTAGTAATTAACTAATATTGGTAATATTTTATGAAACTAATTTTTATACTAATTTGGTTATGGGCTGACATAATCGGTAATTTCTCAAATAAGCCCTAAACGAATGAAACCCTCATTTCACCCTCACCCTTTTCAACTTCTTCCTCCAGTCAAACGTTGTCACTCCAAAAGCTTCAACCCAACACAAAATGAGCAATAGAAAATTTGTGCAACTTATGATACTCATCATATACAATATTCCTTCCAATCCAATGGACATTGTAACATACATAGTCATAAAAATCAGAGTCGTAATTTTATTTTATTTAGGTAGAAGTGGGTAATGGGAATAAATAAAAATTCAGAATAATTGGAATACTACGCAATTGTATGATCATTTAATTCTTCGATGACAAGAATAAGAAGTTATCTTCTTTCATTTGCAGTTACGCACCTGCAATAGATCCACTGTGAACATCTACATACTTGAATGCATTTACTCATGTTTTAAAATAAGTTCGGTTTTGTTCGTGAGGGTGAAATGAGAGTTTCATTCGTTTAGGGGTTTATTTTAAGTTGGGGGAGGGGAGCTAGATCACGTTATGGGTGAGTTTTAATGGATTTATGTAATTTAAATTGGGGTGAGTCTATTTACTCTAGAGCTGTCATATGAATTTAAATAATTTATATCTATATCTATATCTATATATTATTAAAAGGAGATGAAATGCATCCACATTAAGCCAAGTGGCAGCCTCACAATAAGTCCCTTGGCAATTTAGGACAAAATTAGTTAGGTATGACAATAATTAGTTTATTTTTGAATTTTAATTTAAAAATAAATAAATTATGCATTATGTGTTATTAATAAATAGTTACTTCTTTTGAATTTGAATTTAAACATACTTAACTACTTTTTTTTACGGAAACAATATTTTTTATATATTTGGAAGTTTAAAACAACAACAATAACAACAACCCAGTAAAATCCCACTAGTGGGGTCTGGGGAGGGTAGTGTGTACGCAGACCTTACCCCTACCCCGAAGGAGTAGAGAGGCTGTTTCCGAAAGACCCTCGGCTCAAGAAAACAGAAAGACAAAAGGGAGACAATATTAGTATCACCATATAAATCATAGGAAAAATAGGAACAACATTAAATTCAGAAGAAAGATGCAAAGCAAAAACGATAGGTAGTAAATAGGTCATGCATTAAAAAGCGTAATAGTAAGACACAATATTGCCAATAGTTATCTTAGACAAAAATCCTACCAGACTAGTCTCATAGAGGTACGAAGTAAGGCAAGACTCAACTACCTCCTAACCTAAAAACCTAATACTCGACCTCTACATTTTCCTATCAAGTCATGTCCTCGGAAATCTGAAGCCTTGCCATATCTTGCCTGATCACATCTCCCCAATGCTTCTTAGGCCGCCCTCTACCTCTTCTCGTGCCCTCCACAACCAACCGCTCGCGCCTCCTTACCGGGGCATCTGGACTTCTCCTCTAAATATATCCGAACCATCTGAGCCTCGCTTCCCGCATCTTGTCATCAATGGGATCCACGTACACCTTCTCCCGAATATCATCATTCCTAATCTTATCCATCCTAGTGTGCCCGCACATCCACCTCAACATCCTTATCTTCTGATATGTGAGTTCTTAACAGGCCAACACTCAACCCCATACATCATGGCCGGTCTAATCACCTCTTTATAGAACTTACCTTTGAGTATCGGTGGCACTCTCTTGTCACATAGGACTCCATATGCTAACCCTCTACTTCATCCATCCTACCCCAATACGGTGTGTGATATCCTCGCCGATCTCCCCTCCCCCCTGGATAACCGATCCAAGGTACTTAAAGCTGCCTCTACTTGAGATGGCATGTGATTCAAGCCTCACATCCATGCCCACTTCCCCTGACTCAACACTGAACTTACACTCCAGGTATTCCGTCTTCGTCCTGCTCAGCTCGAAACCCTTAGACTCAAGAGCCTGTCTCCAAACCTCCAGCCTCTTGTTAGCACCGGCTCGCGACTCATCAATCAGAACTATGTCATCGGCGAATAGCATGCACCACGGCACCTCCCCTTGAATATGGTGCGCTAACGCGTCCATCACCAGGGTGAATAAGAACGGACTGAGCGCAGAACCTTGGTGTAACCCCATTACAACCGGAAAATGGTCAGAGTCGCCTCCAACTGTCCTAACCTGAGTGTTAGACCCATCATACATATCCTTAATCGCCATAATGTAGGGAACCGACACCCTTTTTGCCTCCAAGCATCTCCAGAGAACTTCTCTAGGAACCTTGTCATACGCTTTCTCTAGGTCAATAAACACCATGTGCAGATCATTCTTCCTCTCTCTGTACAGTTCCACCAACCTCCTAATAAGATGTATAGCTTCTGTAGTAGAACGACCCGGCATGAACCCAAACTGGTTGTCGGATATAGACACTGTCATCCTCACCCTCGCTTCAACCGCCCTCTCCCACACTTTCATGGTATGACACAGTAATTTAATACCCCTATAATTGTTACAACTCTGGATATCACCTTTGTTCTTATACAATGGGACCACCGTACTGCACCTCCACTCATCCGGCATCCTCTTCGCCTTAAAAATAACATTAAACAACCTAGTCAACTACTCCAAACCTGCTCTCCCCACACACTTCCAAATTTTCACCGGAATCTCGTCTGGCCCGGTCTCTCTGCCCCTACTCATCTTACGCATAGCTCCCACGACCTCCTCAACCTTGATACACCTGCAGTACATAGAGTCACGGTGACTCTCGGAATGCCCCAATTCACGTAGCACAATATCTCGATCCCCTTCTTCATTCAGAAGTTTATGAAAGTAAGTCTGCCATCTCCTCTTAATCTGGGCATCTTCCATCAATACTATACCGTCGTCATCCTTGATGTATCTCACTTGGTCCAAATCCCGAGCCTTCCTCTCTCTCAACTTGGCCAGCCTGAATAACTTCTTCTCCCCACCTTTTCCCCCCATTCCTCGTACTAAACCATAAGCCGCAGTCTTAGCCTCCGTGACCGCCATCTTAGCTTCCTTCCTAGCTACCTTATACCTCTCCATGCACGCTCGCCTCTCCTCCTCACCTATGCTCCCCACTAACTTCAGGTACGCTGCCTTCTTCGCTTCCACTTTACCTTGGACCACTTCACTCCACCACCAGTCTCCTTTGTGCCCACCAGAGACGCCCGTCGAGACCCCTAACACCTCTCTCGCAGCCTCCCTTATACAGTTTGCTGTCGTTAACCACATAGTGCTCACGTTACCACTGCTCCTCCAAGCTCCCATAGCCGATAACCGCCCTTCCAACTCTTGGGCTTTATCCTTAGTTAAGACTCCCCACCTGATTCTCGGTCTTCCTCGAGCAGACCTTTTCCTCCTCTTTAACATAATACCAACGTCCATTACCAAGAGCCTATGTTGCGTCGCGAGTATCTCACAAGGAATCACCTTGCAATCCTTGCACAACCCTCTGTCACACCTCCTGAGGAGGAGATAGTCAATCTGAGTCTTCACCGCCGCATTTTGAAAAGTAACCAGATGCTTCTCTCTCTCTTCGGAAATCTAGAGTTGGCAATCACCAACCCAAAAGCCTTAGCGAAGTCCAACAACGAGGAACCTCCTCCGTTCCCCTCCCCGAAACCGAAGCCTCCATGCACCTTGCCGTAACCACCTGTGTTCGACCCGATATGACCATTGAAATCCCCTCCTATGAATAGCTTCTCAGCAGGCGAAACCTGGCGCACAATCTCATCTAACCCCTCCCAGAAGCGCTGTTTAACCTCCTCATCCAGGCCCGCATGCGGTGCATAGGCGCTAACGACGTTTAGGGTGCACTCACCAACTACCAAGTTAATAATCATCAATCTATCATTCACTCGTCTAAACCTCAACCACAGACTCTCTAAGTCCTCTATCCACCAAGATACCCACTCCATTCTTACCTTTCTCGACTCCTGAGTACCAAAGCTTATACCCGTCCACGTCCTTTGCCCTTGACCCTACCCACCTTGTCTCCTGGACACACGCTATACTGACCCTCCTCTTCTGGAGGATCTTCACCAACTCTATAGACTTACCCGTCAATGTACCTACGTTCCATGACCCAATTCTCAACCTATAGACACCCTTGTCCCCTTTACCTCCCTTGCTTCCTGACCCACCCCCTAACCCCTGTCCTACCTCCCGCCCCACCCCCCGCTCCCCCCGAGGACATGACCTCACTCGACCATCCCGGACCACAGCCACTATGCCTACGACAGACTACTAGGAATCACTAACACACACAAGGTAACAGACCAAGCTAGAAGAAGACAAGCAGCAACTACAGGAACACTAATACGGTGATAGATTAATACGAACTAAGATGGCAGCAATTTAACTAACACAACAAAGGGAAACAGGAAAACGGGAGGTACCAACTCCCGCGAGTGGAACCTGGGAATTGTCTTGGTATATACAACGATGTTGCGACAACCTAGCACGTTTGCTTCCAACTCCCGTCGTCCCTTGCTGACACTCGCTCGGGCAGTTCTTTAATGTTTGCACACGCACGTCTCGTTTGCCGCTAATAACCACAAGCCCTGACCTGAAATACACACAGAACACCACGAAGCCAAACAAAGGAGGGAGGGGTTGTCACCGCTACCACTGGTGAGGCCCTACCCGTAGCAAAGGAGCGCAAAAAAAGGATGAACTAAAGCCTTGAGTTGATTTAGAAACAGTCAATAATGAATAAAAGGAAGAGAAGAATTAGGAGGAAAAGATAGAATGAGTCTGTACAAGAAAAAAGAAGATAACAAAGTAACGAATCAGGAGAAAAATATAGAGTGAGAAAGCAAGTAAGAGAAGAAAAATTTAGAAGACAATAAAACGCCTAATACAAATATATAAGAGGTAATTACAAGAAGCTGGAGATAGCAACATATTAAGATAGTAACAATAAGATCCAAAACCAAAACCAAATAATAAAAAACAGATAATAACAATAATTAAATGTCTATATCTTAATTAAACTATGTTGATGATTTTGTACGATTGTCAAAGCTTAGAGAAGCAGCAGAATATGACAATCAAAGCTTAAAGAAGCAACATAAATGTAGCTGTGAATATCCCAATTGAAAAATCAGAGAAAAAATTGGAAGTTTAAAAATTATTTTAAAATAAATAAACGAAAAAAAAAGACCACTTCAAGCTAGGGAGTAGTTTCCTCCTAATATGGTAGTCTACATGGGTGAAGCTATGTTGGCCCATGATTAAAAATAGACTTTGAATACCCTGGCATAACCCATTGGCAAATGATGTTCAAATTTGAACAACCTTATCGAATTTTCTGGCTTCGCCACAGGTAGTCTATATCTATAAAAAAAAGCTGTCAATTCAAACTGCGAATATTTTTCTTTTATAAAGAAAATTTTTGTTCCTGAATTTTAAGATAAATATATTATTCGAATTCACATATAGAAATATTTGAGTTGAGATAAAGGAAAAGTTCATTGCTTATGATAAATAATACTAAAAAGGTAATTATTAAGAATATCAGTACACTTATGACAAAATAGTAAAATTACTTATTTTTATATATTTTAAAAAATATTAAAATTACGATATGATATATTTTATATTGATTTAAATATGATATTTTTTCAATTATATGTCTTAAAATTCAAAATGAATAAAACTAAAGGATTGTGAACAATAAAAAGATAAATTATAATTAAAAAATAATTAATATTGTGCGGGTTCTAATACTAATTTTTCATACTAAAAGGGGTATATTCGGCGCATTTCCGAAGGAAAAAGAAATGAAAACTAAAAACAAAAATAAGTTAATTTCCCTTATGATACTTTCATATGGACACAGGAAAGCCCCTTCCCTTCCTAGCCTTGGCTCTCACTTTCAAATTCCCGACCTCTTTCTAGCGCCGAAATTACCAGCACGTAGAGCAAGGACAGCATTGGCCGCTCGGCCTCTGACCCAAATGGAAATCGGCGGATTAGACTCCGATGGCCGTGAATTTAGAAACGCGGACGAGATGTGGAGAGAAGAAGTAGGAGATGGTGACCACCAAAAGAAATCTCAATGGTATAGCAAAGGCATCAATTACTGGGAAGTAAGTTTCCTTTTTTTTTTTTGCTTTATGTAATTTATACGCGTTCTGTTGTTGGTTTTTGTCTGTATAGAGATTTGTTCAATGAAGTTTGATGAGAACCATGAGGTGTGAGGTTCATCCAAGCGGAGATAAAACACACTAGATGATTTCTCTCTGTCTGCCTAAGTGTTTGTGAGTTACCCGGCGTTCCTGGTGGGAGTAGCAGGTACCTGATGGAATAGTTGAGTTACACGCAAGGTGGCCCGGACACCGACACTAGCATCATAAAAAAAATATGAAGGACTATAGGGCATAGAACACAAAATATTGAATATTGGAATGAGAAGGGTCCAACTGGAACTAAATGGACATTGAGGATTTATACAGCTAAACCTGACTAGCTTGGGATTGAGGCAAAGGTATTATTGTATGTAATTTCTATGTGTTTACTTGATTTATCTCTGTTGGTATGTGAAGGGTGTGGAAGCCACAGTGGATGGTGTGCTGGGCGGATATGGGCATGTGAATGAGGCTGATATAAAGGCAAGTGAGGAATTTCTCAACACCATTTTGGCAGAAAGGTTCCCTGATGCTGGAAGAGGCCGCCATCTTGTAGCTCTGGGTAGTCCATCCATTCTCTTTTATCCTTGGATCTTTTTCTGAAACAATTGAACATATTGGTAAAGTATTACATGTTAGCATACAAGATTAAATGTATTTCTTAAAAAAGCTCCCCAAATTATTTGGATTTTTAGTAAACTATTTTCTAGGAATATGGTTTTTAGTGTTTATGCAACACATGATATGTGGGTTTAGCGCAAGTCATGTGTTCAAACTCTGATGCAGATAGAAGTCTGGCATTTAAGTGGAGAAGAGTAGAAGGGCGACCCTATTATCCGCGGAGTTCCACTCGTGCGCTATTGTCCTATTCAATCTTACTCGTTTTAATCAACATTTGGATGTTGTCGTCAACATTTAATATCTAGAAATATCATCAAAATATTGCTCTCATACCCTTTATACACCTTCTACAATGACCACACATGAGATACTTTTGTATCCAAATAACATTTAAAGGTATAAAAATTTTCATAGATTTTTTTTTTTTGCGTGGAAGACATTTTCGTCCACCCTAAATGCTACCCAAGACTAGAACTTTATGCCATTGCTATCTTTACACTATTTGCTACAGGGCTAAGGTGAAGCTGCCTCTTTGAGTTAAAATGTTTTGACAAATTTCTTACTCCCTCTGTTTCATTTTATATGAAGCTCTTTAATTTTTGGACCGTTTAAAAAGAATAACACCTTGCTATATTTGAAAACTTTGTAGCTTTCAATTTCTAATTTACCCTTAGTGACATGTTCTTATAGTAAAATGCCATGGTATGTTTATGACTACAAGTTTTAAGGGTACTTTTGATATGTGCCAAAAATATTTACTTTTTTTTTTGTTGTTGAACTCCGAGCCCAAGTAAACATTGGAATATAATAATGAAATGGAAGAGTATTAGACAAATGTATTTACTAGAGGAAACTCTTAAACTAACGGGTTACTTGGGTGGATGACCCCTTTTAAGTCTTCAATTGAGTAAATACTTTTCAAATAGGTGATGATGTTATGAAGGATAGAGCAGCCCACTCTATTGAAATTGCCATGGTGGTTGATGAGTTGGATATTCCAGGTAGCACAAGGAAAAACTTGAAGCTACGTACAACTAATAGAATGTTAAGGGATTATTCGTGGGACCTTCCCTGAGAATTCTGTTAGAGGTCAAAGTGTGCGTGAGAGTTTTAAAGTTTGTGTGATGGGACCATTATGGATTATGCTGATTGTGAACCTCCTTCCTCCCTTATCTGCTTCTTCTCTATCTTTCTTCTTCTCTGCCTATACTCTTCTTCTTCCTCCTCTCTACTCTGACTGTTCTTCTGGTTCTATTTCTAAGTTTAACTTCATTTATTGTATTTTCATTCCCTAAGATTACTGTAATTGTTCAGTGAGTTTGATCAATAGAAGTCGTATTGTTGTTGGGTTAATTGTGAATTAGTAGCAATCGCTAATATTGGTACTTTCATTGATTTAGCCTCACAATGGTTGACATTCGTTTACAGAAGTTAGATGACTCCATGAAGGAGGTTAGGGAAACTCAGCCCGAATTCAAGCATGAGATTCGTGAAGTTACTGCTTCCATGGCCAATCTTGATGCTAAGGTTGATGACCATCAATGGAAAATTCAGGAGATCATCACTCATATCACTGCCTTGGGTAATCAGATCACTTCTTTCTTTGCTGAATCTAGTTGTCCTCGTCTTGTTCAAGTTGATGTGATCCCGCTGTGGCGGCGGTTGACCACCCAACTTTGCGCCATAAACCGGCATCAGTCGAATTTGGCCTTTTTCGGGGGACAATCCAGAGGCTTGGGTCTTTCAAGCTAATCACTATTTCGATTTCTACGGTATTGAAGCTGACCATCGACTCACCATTGCTTCATTTTATCTTGACGGTGAAGCTATTGCGTGGTATTGCTGGCTTTTTCGTAATAAGTAGTTAAGTGACTGGTCGACTTTCTCTGAGAAATTAATCTCTCGCTTCAAAAAGTGGTACCTATAGGAATCAGAAGGACATTTGGCCAAACTCCAACAAGTGATGACGGTGGTCGCTTATCGGGCGAGTTTGAGGCAATCGTTACTGAAGCTGTAGCCCTTCCAGATGCTATGATTTTGCATTGGTTCACTTCGGGCTTAAACTTGAGATAAAGGATGATGTGCTAATTGCAAAACCCAAAATATTAGATGAGGCAATCCACTTTGCCCAATTTTAAGAACATAAGCTGCAGCGTGATCATGGGCCTTCTCGATCCAGTTGGCCCAGATCACAACCCTTTTTGACTACTCCCACATCCGCATTACCCATTTCGTCTTCCCCCTTTTCACCCGTCTCTCGTCCTGCTTTAGCCATGCCTAAATTGCTTATCAGACGACACTCTACATTAGAGCTTCGTGAACGCCGCGAGAAGGGATTGTATTTTTCCCGTGACAAAAAGTTTATCCCCGGCCACAAATGCAAACCTTTCTCTCATCTCTTATTGATATCCAATGAGCATTTGGAGACATCAGACGTTTTCGACCCAACTATTTCTGATGAGGCTCTGGCCGAGCATCTTCAAGCCTTAGAAATGGAAGCTCACTCCACCATTTCCTTTCACGCCCTTGCTGGTACTTATTCCGCGGCCACCTTATGCTTCTGGGGCCATATTCAAGGATCTCCTGTCCAGGTTCTCTTGGATGGGGCTAGTACCCATAACTTTGTGCAGACTCAAGTTGCTAAATTTCTTCAATTGCCAATGGAATCAAGAGAGAGTTTTTCAGTTGTAGTCTGTGTTGTCAAAGGCGCGCTTAAAGTGCGCTTAAGCCCTAAAGCGAGGCTCAAAACATGTTGAGCGCTTCGCCTCGCTTTGTGGGCGCTTTAGTATCGCATCAAGGCTCTTAGGCGTACTTTTACTTGCCAATGAGTGTAATCTTGAAAAGGCAACATTAAACAATTGATATTTCACATTATCGTAAATTATTTCCAATTTCTTTGTCCATATATTTGTTATTCATGCTTATAATTAGTAGTCTTAGACTACATATACATATTTTTACTTTTTCTTCAATTGTGCTTTTTTTCATTAAAGCCCATGCTTTATTTGCGCTTTGCGCTTAAAGCCCCTACGGACCTTAGAGCTTTTTTGCGCTTTTCGCCTTTGATAACATTGGTTGTAGTCGGCAGCGGACAATGCCTTCGCTGTGAGGGAATTGTTCGATCTGTTCCTCTGACCATTCAAGGTAGCTCCTCCTCGATTTCTATGTTTTGCCTATGCATAGAGCTGATTTGGTCTTGGTGTATCATTGTTGGCTACTCTAGGCCATGTTCTGACCGATTATGCGCAAAACATATTCAAATTTCACCATGATTGTCCATGCATCCACTGGGACGGGGAAGCCTCCCCTGTCCTTCAACCAATACAGCTTCAAAGTCTTCGCCGTTTGTATATCTCTGATTTTGTGGCATCTTATTATCACCTTGCTTTGGTGTCTCATGACCCAGATAGTCCGCTTGCTTATCCATCAGATCTTAAGGAGCTTCTCGATGGATTTTCTGACATCTTTCAAAATCTATGTTCACGCCCACAGGATCACTCTATCCATTTGTTACCAAACTCCGGGCCTATAACTGTCAAACCTTACATGTACCCTTATTTTCAGAAGCGTGAAATAGAGCGCTTAGTGGATGAGATGTTAGAGGATGGTATAATCCATCCTAGTACCAGTCCATATTCTTCACCTGTCTTGTTGTTTCGCAAAAAGGATGGCACTTGGGCATTTTTGTGTGGATTATCGGGCTCTCAATACCATTACAGTCCGAGATCGTTTTCCCATTCCTACTATCGATGAGTTATTTGATAAACTTCACGGCTCGCAGTTCTTCTCTAAGTTGGAGTTGTTGGCAAGTTACCACCAAATCGGTATGAAGGCTACTGATGCGGAAAAGATAGCCTTCCGCACACATGATGGTCACTATGAATTTTTGGTAATGCCCTTTGGCCTGTCGAATGCCCCTTCAACCTTACAGGCCTTAATGAATAAAGTATTCCGGCCTTATCTTCACAAGTTCGTTAAAAGCTCGAGGCTGCGTGCAACTAACAGAATGTTAAGGATTATTCGTGGGACCCTCCCTGAGAATTCTATTAGAGGTCAGAGTGTGCCTGAGAGTTTTAAAGTGTGTGTGATGGGACCATTATGGATTATGCTGATTGTGAACCTCCTTCCTCCCTTATCTGCTTCTTCTCTGTCTTTCTTCTTCTCTGCCTATTCTCTTCTTCTTCTTCTTCTTCTTCTTCTTCTTCTCTACTCTGACTGTTCTTCTGGTTCTACTTTCTGAGTTTTAACTCCGTTTATTGTATTTTCATTCCCTAAGATTACTGTAATTGTTCAGTGAATTTGATCAATAGAAGTCGTATTGTTGTTGGGTTGATTATGTGCTAGTAGCAGTTGCCAACAGATGACCCTTTTATTACATTAAAGAATCAAAAGAATATCAATTTTTCTTCTGTTGCTGTTTCAATTAAATTGATCTGTCATTGTTAATCAGCCTCCTTCTTTAGTCGATTATCCCCTATTGTCTATATTCAACCCTCTTTATTGGTCGTTTAGTTTATCAACCTCCTTCTTGGTTGATTATCAACCTATTGTCGATAATCGACCCTCCTTTTGGTATCACCTTCGTGGTTAATCATTAACCTATAGTCAATAAAACGACCTCCTTAGTGGTCGATCATCAACCTATTATTGATAATCAACCTTCTTGGTCGTCTATCAACTCGTTGTCGCTACTCAACCTCCTTCTTTGTCGGTTGCCACCTCCTTCTTGGTGAAAAACATCATCTGTCTGAATGGTTAACTAGCAGGGACATCAACCTATGGTCGATAATCGACCTCCTTCTTGGTCGATTAAGGGCATTCCCTTAATTTTAAACTTCTGCGAAGAGAAAGAAAAAAGAAAATGAATGTCTTTTAATTGATTCAAAACTTACAGAGGGCGCATACACCAAATCTTCTCTAACTTGTGCAGCCTGTCTACACCTTAATACACAGTTTCCGAAGAACTTGAGCATTACTATTTTTCCTGAATGACTTAGCAAAAAGCAATGACCTCCCAAATGCTGATTTTAAGTGCAGTGTATCATTTTTGACTTGTGATTGAACTTTAATACCTATTGGAACTCTTTGTTTGCTTCAAGTTGCAGAATTGACAGCAATTGTGTACCATATTGTCTAGTTTCTTGGTTTATAACGCGTGGACAGTTTGCTCCAATTGGTGCAGATTGTGGATCTGGCATTGGAAGGGTTACCAAGAATCTTCTTATACGATATTTCAATGAGGTATATACTTTCAATTTGAATAAAGTCTATCTGATTTATCATCAAATAAGATATTCAAACAGTTTGATCTTTTTGACAAGACGTTGTGTTTAATCCCTATAAAATGGCTATCTAGGCTAAAAACAGCAGACAACCAGATTGGATTTTGGCTTGAATGATAAATTTCAGGGTACTTATATTCCTAAGAAGATAGTAAAGAATCCTTGATTAAGCAGAAAACTAGAAGTGGGGGAGGAGGACTCCGTGATTCACCTCAAGAGGTCCTAACGGTTATCCTTGAAGCGAGTTTCTATAATGATTACTGCATTTGATATCTATGGAAATTGGGTGGGTTGGGGTGGGGGGTGGGGGGGTGGATGGGTGGGGGGAGGGAGATCCATGTTTCACCCATCAGTCACTACTAAATGAGTAAATGGATTGAATCAGTTGGTTGATATGAAAAAATTGCCTTTCGTTCAGCTTAAAGTTGTAAAACATGAACCAAGACAAATTATATTTCAAATAATCTTTTTTCCTTTCTCGGTATATGTCTATTGCATCTAACTTTTTGTGAATGCAATTGTTTGGACTTAGAATTCAGTTGTGCATATTATATTGGCATTGTCCCATTACCTAATATCTACATTTGCCATTGTAAAGATAAGAGAAAACATGTTAGTGACTTGGTTAAGTAACAATATGTTGGCAAATAATTTTGAGTCATCTAAGCTGGGTAGCTATGGAGTCGAATTCACCACTGTGATTCTGAGGGTGTGATTCCTCAACTATAGATTCATTGGAATTCTTCACAGGCTGTCCTAGTTTTGAGAGTGTTACAACTATTGTTATCTTTCTCAAACAAAGAAGAAGAACGTGTTATGATTATTGGCATAGAAATAAATATAGAGATTTGGTTAAATAATCTAGCTAGAATAGGCTGTATGTAAAGAAAGCAATGTACTGGGAGCTGGAGGAAACTTGTGGATAAGCTAAATATATTCGATAAAGGAAAGGAAATACTAATATGTTTGGAACTGAGGCGTAGTTGTTGTAAAGGAAAGGAAGTGACAAGAGGTAAGGATAGATTTGATGTTGGTTGTTAGGTTGAGATGATGTATCTATGTACAAGAAGTAAAGATAGATTTGATGTTGTGTTGATAGGTTGAGATGATGTGTCTATGCACAAATGTATGTCCCCGTAACCGCTTGAGAATTTAAGAAGTCGAAGAGTTCTGCCGTGTTAACACCTAAATTTGGATATCATTGGCAATTACCAAAGGTTATGACTGGTCTTTTCGGAGTCTGCTCTTCCTAAGAATATTTGCTCCAGTGATTACCTTTTGAAACTCTCTATAAACTTTTGCAATTGTTAAGACACATTCTCACCCCTTTATGTACTCTTTGCTTCATTGTTTTCCCCTTCTAACTAACCTTCGATCACCCTCATCAATGCCTTAATTATCTTCCCTTTCTATCTAACTTTCAAATCATCCACTTCAATGGCTACCAGATAATCTCCTTTCTAAACCTTTCAAGAACCTGTTGCCTCCGGCGCTTTAGTTCCTTTTCCGCAAACAAAAAAGCTTATATGTTGGGTCCCCTCATAGTAGATGATTTTGAGAAGGGATCTTCAGACAGACCATCTCTATGTCCTGTTTGCCCTATGACATCTGATCTCAATGGTTCACCATAAATAACTTTCCTATACATCTCAATGATTCTGTACTTTCGTTAGAATTCTAGTGAGCGTGGGGATTGGCTTATTCATGGTGAGAAGGCCAAGGCAATGATTGAAAGAAACAAGAAATTTACGACATGGTACAATTCTCCCGTTATGACATCCTTATGGATATGAAACCAATCTTGTGTTTTTTTTTGGATTTTTGTCTTTATTTCAATCAGCAACTTACTGCTTGTTTTGGAGTGATGGGACCTATTATAGAGAATGTGATAGCCATTATTTGGCTCTCAGCAGATGGAGATGAGGCTTTAGCTTTATGCAGTTAACAACAACAACAACATACCCAGTAACATCCCACACCGTGGGGTCTAGGAGGGTAGTGCGTACGCGGACCTTATCCTTACCTTGTGAGGAGAGCTTTATGCAGTTAAATCTGAGGATATTAGTTTCCAACAACAACAACAACTAAGCTTTAGTCCCAGATAATTTGGGGTCGGCTATATGAATCCTCACTGGTTATATTACTGCATATAAATTATCTCAGGCCAATATACAATATAAAATAATAATTAGAATAAAACTAAAAAGTACTAGAACCTTGATATAAGAAATAGTAAAAAGTACTAGAAGTTCTATATATTTTCCATCGATGTATAAATCTTTGAAAGACTACACAACTCTTATAAAAGCATAAGACGTAAAGTAAAAGTGCTGAAATGACTTAAACATATTCTCAGTACTTATATAGATCTTTTTCTTCCACTTTGCTGTATCTTTCGCTATTTTTGCATGGATCTCAAAAGATTGTAAGTCTTTCGGGACAACTTCCTTCCAAGTGATTTTAGGTTAACCTTGTCCATTTTTAACACGAAGGGGAGCCTTGGCGTAACTAGTAAAGGGTACTGCCATGTGACCAGGAGGTCACGGGTTCGAGCCGTGGAAACAGCCTCTTGCAGAAATGCAGGGTAAGGCACTGCGTATAATGGACCCTAGTGGTCCGGCCCTTCCCCAGACCTCGCGCATAGTGGGAGCTTAGTGCACCGGGCTGCCCTTTTTCTTGTCCATTTTTAACACCTTTACTCACCTTGGTGTCACATCACGCACTGGTGCATCTGGCGGTCAACGCAAGACATGACCAAACCATCTCAAAGTGACATTGTCTCATTTCTATCATTTTTAATATTGTCAAATCTTGTATGACTGCAAATTTTGGCGCCGTTGCCGGGGAGTTAACGGTGTTATCAATTACAATTGAAAGAAGTACAAAAAATTCTTAGTGTAGTCAGTTTTCTCTATACCCAATCTTTTCATTGAAATTCTCACGTTTGAACTCTTGTGGAATTCAGGTGTATGCCTAGAAATTCTTCGAGGACTGGAGAACTGCTAGAAGGACTCTCAGACCCCGAGAAAACATTCAGGGCGTTGAACCGTGCCAACAAGAGAATCCAACAATCACAACTACCACACCAGCTCGAATTTGACATGGGTGACGCAGAAAACGTCAACTACCACTACTCTGACGTTAGGGATCGCTGGCGGATCCCCGACGTTTCCGTTGACGTTTTCTGCGTCACCCATGTCAAATTCGAGCTGGTGTGGTAGTTGTGATTGTTGGATTCTCTTGTTGGCACGGTTCAATGCCCTGAATGTTTTCTCGGGGTCTGAGAGTCCTTCTAGCAGTTCTCCAGTCCTCGAAGAATTTCTAGGCATACACTTGAATTCCACAAGAGTTCAAACGTGAAATTCAATGAAAAGATTGGGTATAGAGAAAACTGACTACACTAAGAATTTTTTGTACTTCTTTCAATTGTAATTGATAACACCGTTAATTCCCCGGCAACGACGCAAAAATTTGGCTCGCCCAACTATGCCTTGTAAAAGGACACGCGGACGTTGCAAATATAATCTGAGTATTTATGCCCAGAGTCGAACCTACAGGGAATTAACCTATCAATTACTTTTGTTGGACTTACTAAATTCTATAGAATCAACTTCCCTAAACGTTGTAAATAACAGTTGATGATATTGCTAACAACTAAAACTGAAAGTAAATAAACAGCTAAAAACTAACGATGCTTGAGTTGTAAACAATTGGAATAAAGGTCTAAGGTAATGGTTTCCCCCGTTGTTGATTTCCTTAGTTGTATGTTTCTTATAGCTTTGACTTAGTTGCCTCTATCAATCATGAACTCTCCAGCTATCATTAATCTCTCTCAAGCAATTATGATAATTTACTAGATGCACTATCTCAAGCTACGCTAGCTAGATTCGCATTACAGTTCACTTAGATTGCACCCGAGGTATCGTTATCTCTAATCCAACCTCTAAACCCTTGGTTATGGCTCTCGCCTATACTCCGGGAGTGATGTTGTTCAAACAACTACCTAAATATGCACTCTCTCTCAAGCAGATACATAATAAATAGGAACGGCTAATTGAGAATCCTTTCAATTAACCAAAATCAAGACGTAGTTGAACAAATAGAGATTAACAACCAACTCAAAACTATATTAATATAACAACCAATTCATCCCCAACGGGTTTCACCCAAAACCTTAGATTAAAAGATTTAGCTACTCATAACAATGATGAAAACTACAAAAGAATTCATAGTCATTGATAAAAGAACAAATTAGGGAGATAAGAATTGTTTCCCAAGTTACCTCCTTGCCTCTCTTGTCTTGTTCTCAAACCTCAAAACTCCTCCTCTTTCTCTTGGACGCATTAAACCTTTTATAGTTTGTGTGGTTTTTGCTTTGGACTTCCAAAATTGCCCTTTCAAATACTTTTCCCGCATCTGGACTAGCGCGGGCGCGCTAAGGCCGCGCTAATGCCCGCGCTAATGGGGTTATATTCTGCTTCTGATGACTTAACTAGCGCGGGCGCGCTAAGGCCGCGCTAATGCCCGCGCTAGTGGGGTTTCCCTCTGCCATGCCGAGCTTCATTCCCATCATTCGTCTACTAGTTCCAATTTTTGCCCGGATCACCATCATAAGTCTTCATTTGAGTAGTGTACTCCTGTGAAACACAAAAGTCACCATTAGAGCCAATTTTTGCATTATTTACACACTTAAAACAATAAAGCATCCTTAAGTTAGAGCCCGAACGTAGACCAAACTATACAATTTAGCCTATTATCAACTGCACATCTTCTTAATTTCTTCTTTAACATCTGCATCTCTTCGACACTCATCTTGTGGATATGCAACACCTTAGTGGCCCAACATTCACTCACATATAACATTGCTGATCTTATAATTACTCTATAGAACTTACCTCTGACTTTCACATGCATCCTTTTATTACATAATATCCCAGTAGCACTTCTCCATTTTAGCAATTCGATTTTGATTATGTGTAACATCTTCATCTATCATTGCATTCTAAGGATATTTTTTGCCAAATTTCTAAATCGGCCTCCTCTCATTACTTGTTCTCGAATAACAAGCAAGACATTTTGGACATGCTCAGTGGCGGTGAGCATTAGACCTTCCTCTTCCACAGGCTCTGAAGTACTATGTTTGTATGGATTCCATGGCTGTCATACTTGACTACAAGACTCTTTTACCCCTTGCCCTTTTATTCCTTGCGTTGTTCTAAAACTATTAGTAGACTCTTTGATTGTTCTAGCTCTGGATTACACATCTATTTTTCTCAAGTTCGATTCTTTAACCTTACATGAGGAGCGAGATGAAAGCTACCCACTTATAGGATGCGTCGAGGTACCTAATTGCGAATCATTGGCTCAGTAAGCTGCCTCCTTGCTTCTTGATGGGAGAAAAAAGAGTCTAGGTGATTTCCTTTTTCGGAAAGGAAATACGATCATGTTTAGTAGAGGACAGGCGCAATTGCTTCCCAAGAGAAAGGCTCGCAAGTATACGAGCACGTTGATGGTTAGGGATCCCCTTTTGGGGGTGTGAAATTGACGTCTCGACGAAATATAATTTTCATCGAACATGTATTCGTCAATGTTAATACCAATTTGGCTTAATTCAAAGCGTGTTGAGAAGCTATTCTTTGCAGAGTGGCTTAATAGGCTAAATATTATGGCTGATGTAGACATAGTGGCAGTGATCAGCTTTAAGAGAGCGAGTTCCTTCAAGATCTGGCATTTCCTACCATGTTGGTGAGGCAGTAAGTATAAGCTTTGCTAGTCAAAGCCATATTCCTTGTCTGCACTGGCTCAGCTCATATATGGACATATCAAAATTGAAGAACCATGGGTTTTAAAGAAGCAAATGCATTGGTTGCCAGTTGCCACCCCTTTTAGACCCAAGGCTTCTTTTCTTAATAAGATTCCCTGTCTTTCTCATTGTTGAAATTTTGTTGCTTTCAGTTACTGCAGTAACTTTTTTAGCAGAATAAGTTGCTTAGTTTTAGGATAAATTTCAATTTATATTTCTATTAGATTGTTTAAGTTAGTTGAGATATTTTAGGTTTTTTGAATTTTAAATTATGTGTATTTTTTGTTCCTAATTGGCTATTTAAAGCCTTGTTATGCTTAGGGGTGGGCATAAAAACCGAAAAATTGAAACCGGACCGGACCGAATTAATTCGGTATCTCGGTATCGGTTCTTTGGTTATTCGGTACTAATTCGGTACGAAATTTTCGGTTCTTCGGTACTTCGGTACTTCGGTTCGGATCTCGGTATTCAAGTTTTGATTTTTCGGTATTTCGGTATTTACCGAAATACTGAAGTACTTCTTGTAACTATAAAAACTTGTTGAGCATTTTCCTTTTACCCAGCCTAACTAGATGCACGTAAACTAGTGAAAATACCTGGTGCATATCCAGGATGATACACGATCCACCAATAAACTCCTCGTTGATGAATATTTATGGAACGTGGGCCACTGGTTGCAATATATAGTTAGATACAGAGATTAGGAGTCCTTGAGCAATAAGTTGCACATTCTAAAGTGTAACACTTGTCTTAGTGCAACTACTTTGGATTGAATACAGGTCTCACAGTCTATTAATCTCACAATCACCGCATAGACAACTTAATTTGCTTTTGTCATTATGCAAGTAGTTACTGGAAAACTAAAGGAATTACTGAATTAGAGTTCACCACTTTCTCATTGTGTACTATACCGGAACCGTACCGAAACCGTACCGAACCAAACAAGATAACATCGAACCGTACCGAATTACTTTGGTACGGTATTTGGTATGTACAATTGATAAACCGAATACCGAAATACCGTACCGAAATTCTTAAATACCATACCAAAGTACCGAACGTCCACCCCTAGTTATGCTTAATAAAATTATTGAGACATTTTTCAATCAATATTTTTAATATTATTGCTGCCCCATCTTTTAAAAATCCAACACTCATGCATTCCGGTACTTACCCATCTTGTTTACCCCATATATTTAGCGTCTCGCAGCAAGAACATCCTCTCTATCATTTATTATTGATGTTGACATTTTTGAAAATTTTAAGCATCCCTTTGGTGGAGTTTCGGCAGGATCATTATGTAGGCATACTAGACAGTCACACTGCTGCTGCTTGAATTATTACCTTTGCCCCTCCTGCATTGGGGAATTTAAAACGACCTCTACCCGAAGTTTATTTGGCTGCAACGGCTAGGTGATTGGACCATCCGACTATTTGTCATTAAACAGAATCGTTGCCATGTCACTCATTTGTTATACCCTGTTCTTGAGGCTTGCTCCCCGCTAAAAGATCTTCCTCTCCGTCAAAGAATTCGGGAGTTCTAATTTCAGGGACAAGTTTCTTCTCTCTTGCTCTAAGGCTCAATTTCCCACTAGCGTCCAATGGGTTGATGGAAATTATCCTCTTCTACTGTTCCTCTTGTCCCTGGTAGCTCTCCTTCTAGTGTTATTAAAAGTCATCTCTTCATCGTTTAATGTGCAAAGTGAGGGCTTATCGTTTCATGGGTGAGCTTTTTTGAAGAGAGCACTTCAAACAATGACACACAAAGTGATCGCAATGAGAAACAGTCAGCTCTTCGAATCTCAACTTTGAAGAGTTGGATTAATATTGACATTTTTGTATATTTGGGTACTGAGAATATTTATTTAAACTGCAATTTGATCATTATAGTACTTAATTCATATGTGTAAGGTATTTGTAATATCGTGAATTGTGCATTTCACTTCAAAGAAGCATGCGCTGCACATCTCGCTTTTCGCTTCAAGCCCCATGGAACTTGTCGCTTTTTCCGCTTTTCACTTTTAATAAAACTGTTCCTTCTCTATCTGCTTGAGTTAGTGAACTGGTATATGCATGGCCCTATTCCATGAACAAAGTGCTGTGGACGCTATGAAGTCTGTTTTAATCAGGATTACATCTTGCATCTTCCACGCTGCATTTACAATTGAAATGGTCATGTAGAGTATAGCTTCTGATATTCTCAGTGATAGCCTTTTAACTATAAGGCCAACAAAGAGCATGAACAACTCAGCAAGTTTGAGTCGAAATGGTAGCCAGACCGTCAGAGCAAGATGCCACTGTATTCTTATTCCGTGAGTAGTTTTATTGGTGCTAACTGTTAAAAACATACTTGGAACCTTGATGGCTGAAGAGTCAGTTGATGATGCATAATCTAGGACTGTTCTGAAGTTAGGTTACAGGAAAGCTTAACAATTAGCAGAGAGGAAAGGTTTTGCTTGTAGTTGTAGATGGACAAAATGATCATACCCTGTTTTATTATTGCTTTCTATTAACTGTTGACAATATTCCGGTTTCGTTATTCATGCTACACGGAAAAAAGAATTGAAGGACCAAAAAGTAAGCATCATCCTGGGATGCCTGTGATTGTTACGAAGTTACCTAATTCCTTTTTGTTATGTTTGTTTCTACGAAGTAATACATTATGAAACTAGGCTGCAAATTGTGTAAACTTATAATGGATTTGCACATCGCATTTCAAATTGGGGGACTTATCAGAAACTGGGTTGCTCAAGGTGGGCATCCTTCTCCTTTTTTTGTTTTATTGGACTTCTTTTGGAGAAGAAATTTGGTAAATGCAATAATTACTGTGGGATGCAGTGTGCATTTGCGATAAGTCTTGATTGATGTTTTTAGTTTAAGCTCTTCACACTTGATTGCTTTGTCCTGGTCCCAAGGATGATTCTGTAATATTTAAGTTTCCTAGCATGTAGTCTTTTCTTGAATACAGGTGCGCTTTTCCACACCCACCCTATAGTCACATGGCATATATATGCAACATATATTCTGCCCACGATTTTACACCATAATTTACTGCTGCCATCTCGTCTAAATGGCTGTGGTTTCTTCACAAACATGGTAAATGGCTTCACCTACTTAAGAAACTTTTTATTCCTCAGATTTACCTGTAGTTAATATTCCTTATGACAAAAATTTGACATGTTCGTTTTTTCATCAGGTCGACCTTCTGGAGCCTGTATCACATTTTTTGGAATCAGCCCGGGTAAATTTGGCTCCTGAAAATTTAATGGTGTCAGAGTTGCACAAAGCTGCCAATTTTTATTGTGTTCCACTCCAGGTACAGTTTAAGTTGCTGCCTTTTCACTAAAAAAGTTCCCTTTTCGCTATTATCTGCTTATAGTACTCATTTATGAAAGCATAATATTTGATATTTGACTAACATAAATTATTGCATTAAAGTTAGGTAGATTTATATTGTCAAGTCAATAACTTGGTGATGATAAAAGTGCAAAACATAGGAGTATGAATAAACCAAAATATTATTAAAATAATACCAGTTCCACTAAAAATAAGGAATTTCTAAAAACAACAACAACAACAACAACAACAACAACAACGACCCAGTGGAATCCCACTAGTGGGGGCTGGGGAGGGTAGTGTGTACGCAGACCTTACCCCTACCCCGAGGGAGTAGAGAGGCTGTTTCTGAAAGACCCTCGGCTCAAGACAAAAAGACAAAAGGAGACAATATCAGTAACACCATAGAATTTCTAAAAACAAGAGATGAATAAAACAAGTATCCATTGTAGACATATAATACATAAATAAAAGTGTCCCCTCTAACATATTAAGGTTTTAGATGTGGTGGTTACACAATTAAACATGGTGCTAGAATCAGACCTCCACATGAGGCGGCATGTTGTAGGCATAAACAACGAATTTCTCCTCTTTAACAATTAAATTTTTAAAGAAGTGGTCTCACAATTTAACAGTTTGGATTTATACAAAAAAAGTTGGAAAGTAAAAGAATCATTTACTGTTTGCTCGGTTCCTAATTCATTCGGTAGATTCTCGTGGATCTGCCTGCTGAATTTTATATCATGATCTCCGAATAGCAACAATCCTACAACTATTCTCCTACGATTTTAGTCTGCAAAGATATCACCAAGCTGCAACCTCATTAGAATCAGGTGATAAAAGAAATTTTATCCCGTAATTGTTTCTTTATCCGAGCCTCCTAGGTACTATTAGTGCTTGTGGAGAGAACGATATTTTGACGTTTTTGCTGGATTGTTGAATTTAAGATTTCAGTAATGGCATGGCTGGTGTTGTTTTCACTTATATGAGTGCGTTTCAAACATTGAAGTATCGTCAACATTATCATGGTCTAAACAACAAAATAAATATGGTAGTGCAAGATTTAGTACATTGCTTTTAGGATTTCCAGCTTTCATCAGATAACATTATCAGTAATGTCTTGGTGGCCTCATCTGGACAGGAAAGTTAGGGGCCATATAAAGGCAAGTTTAGGATTCAATTGTAGAGGGCACCTTTTAGGTTAAAGTCCATGGGGACAAAACCGTGTCGTTCCTAAGACTTGCAAGAGCTAACAATACCTTGGCAGTTGGACCGAGGTCGTTACAAGTGGTGTTAGAGCTAGTACCTCCCTTAGTATAATGGTCGGAATAACTTCAGCGAGGAGCTGTGTCTCTAAGGTAGGGGGAGTCAGTGTAACAGCCCATGAACCATTGGCGGTTGAAATTGAAAGAAGGTTCATTGTGAAGCTTGCCTTAGACAAATCTTATATCAGGATGGGAGGCGAAAGCTAGGGGCCATATGAGGGTGAGTTCATGATTCAACTGTTGAGGCACATTTAGCCAGAGGGACAAAATAGGGAGGCCTCAAAGTTGCGCCTGAAGGGACAGTACCCAATGATGTCAAAGGCTCATTTAATGCGCGCTTAAGCCCTAGCTCAAAAAAGCTTAAGGAGGGCGCTTCGCCTCGCTTAAGCTGCGCTTCAGTGTAGGCAAGTCACTAAAGTGTGTGCCTCAGTGCCCATGAGTTCTATCTTGAACTGAACAGTACTAAACAACAAATATTATCACCAAATAAGTGTATTAGTTGCTGAGGATAATATTAGGAGTAAATTTGTTTCTTTTGTTGAACTACAAAATGTATTTTTATTTTTTCCTTTAGTTGCGCCTTTTTTTTACTAAAGCCCGCATTTTAGTTGCGTTTTGCGCTTATAGCCCCAATCGACCTAGAGCGCTTTTTAGAGCTTTTCGCTTTTGACAACACTGACAGTACCTTGGCACAGTTGGGCTTGAGCCTTTACACCCATCTTAATCCAAGAGTGTACTAGTGCGTTAATAACTCGACATTCAGAATTGGCCTTTCTTCAGTGAATGCAATTGGGGAGGTTAAGACCATCACATCCCATAATTTGGTAAATCTGATAAAGAACACCTTAGCAACAGTGCAAACTCATATAGATGCTTCTTGCTACCGTCATAAGTTCAAATTTCATAATGCTTGTAACTCATCCTTCCTTGGTATGATTGTTTGAAGGAAGCATTGGCCCTCTTTTAAACTTTTCCAGTGGCTTGAAAAGAACGGACGGTCTCCATAGCATTTCGTTTGACCGAGCTTTGACACCTCTGGTAGATAGCTCAAAGTGAAACCATTAGGACCAATATCCACAACATAGAGCCTTATCTTGCTTAAATGTTCAAGGAAAACACAGCCCTTATGAATCATGCAATCACTGACCCGTCACCCTAACCTCCGCATTTGGGGGAAATAGGACATATATCTAATTGAAGTTTTTTTTTCCACTCACCTCTTGAGTCATCAAATTGGAAACATGTTGCTTTCTACATTTATCTTTTCTTTTCCCTAGGTGGTGCATAGGCAGCAGGTGATTTACTTTAACAATGCATCTGTTTGTTTCTCCATGTAATCAGTCTTGAAATCAGGTGAAAAGAAGGAAGAATTAGTGGTACGAGGTCCTATGATCAATCAGTATCTCTTGAGACATGGTCATTTCAAGTAATGAAGTCCTTATTGCGGCAGCTATCCCTTAACATTTGATACTATTATTTCTGGAAGCAGAGAACAGAGAACAGAGACATAGTATGCTATTCATATTAAAAAATTAAGAAAAAAGACAATAGTATGCTGTGTTGTAACTTCTGCTGAGAACAAAAATGATTCCCCATTTTGCGGTGTGAAGAAAGAAAATAGATATTTTCCTTTTTAAACTGTTTCTTCTGTCTTGTTCTCCAAGGAACCATTTGCTGCTAGACAGAGATTTCAGGGAATTACATTTTTAAAGAGATCCCTTTAGGCTTTTTCCATAGATATCTCAAAATCCAGTTATTCTAGTCATAGCGTGTCATCATGAGGCATTCAAAACTCATTGCTGATCCATTGAGCTTAAGAACGAATCTCACTAGCTCACCATATCAACCTCTGGTTATATCATTTTTTTTAAATCTTCGAATGATTTCATTCGAAACAGTATGTATATTGATTGAAACATTTTTCACGGTAAATAAATATGCAGCGCGTGCACCCACACACAAATGTGTATGCATATAAATTTGAAGCTTAAACTGAAACATTAGCTTATTGCAATTCATTGTATCTGCCACATGCTTATAGTTTGGATGTTTTAAGGTAAGTCTAGTGTCTTTATCTGACTTGTGCTTGCACTTTGTTTCCACATATTTGAATTAGAAAGATTACCGTGGTTTTGGTTAGTGTCTTACTTCACTTTTAGGCTGTTGCTTACTCATTGTTTTCCCTTTTCTTTTTTCTTCAAGGAATTTACTCCTGATGCTGAAAGATATGATGTTATTTGGGTTCAATGGTGTATTGGGCATCTTGCAGATGATGACTTCATTTCATTCTTCAAGAGAGCAAAGGTGAAGTGATCTTCTAAAATGAAGTTCTATTAGGGCTCGATTGTAATAAGTAGCTATTTCAGCATCCAATATAAATAAATCCAACTCTTTAAAGTTGAGATTGAAAGAACATAGTTCTTCTTGTTTGGATCATTTTGCGCATATTTTTGAAGCATGCACTTCTATGAAGCGCATGGCTTCACCCATGAAGTGATTCGCACATCGCTTTAACTGACAAAGCAATTGCTTTTAATAACACTAAAACATCATAGTTTTGTTCTTTATAAAAATCTATTTTCCTGATCAAGAAAATCTTTTTAAAACTGTGATTGATTGAGCTTGCAACAACTTTTTATCCCGAGCCAACAGGCTGTGCCATGTAGTAGATTTAGTTTCTGCTATAGCTTTGTTTCTGCATGTTACTGCAACTTCCACTGTAGGCAACCAATAACCATGTATTCTACCATTTCTGAAACTAAAAGCTAGGTTCATTTTATGCTAGAGTGTCAGGGAGAATGCTTCCAAGTACTTGTTTTTTCCACCGCGTGGCATAGCAAGTGATCCGTGGTCAGACAGGACCTTGGTACTTTCTTTGCTGCTATTCTCAACAATATGAACTTTTGGATCACTTAGCTCTCCATCCTTATATCCAGTGCGATTGAGAGAATGTGACTGGGCTTTTTTAGCTGCTAGGATTTTCACATCCACCACAATCTCGATATCCTCTTCATTCAACAATTTGTCAACAACCTTCTCAACAATATATCCTACTTGATTGCAGTCCTTATCGCTATCAGTAGAATGCCAGCTTGTGAACAATCTATACTTACTTCCGTGGCATGACTTTTTTTTTTTTTTTTTTTTTTGAAAAGGTAAAGCAGCAGAAGTATTGTGCTGTGGTTACATCCCAGCAAAAAAGACAAGAAAGAAAGTAAAACCATTTGTGGCTATGTAGTGAATGTAGAAAGTCTAACAGGGTTTCAAATTCATTTACAATTTCCAATGTATAACAAAAGGAAATCAAAAAATATATATTCTGATTTAGTTTTCAGGGTAGAGCTAACCTTCAAAGCATGTTCTGTTTCTTTCTTTCCATTGGCTCCACCATTCTATCTTTGCTGTTTTAGACATGCCCTTCCTGCTCCGATATTTTAGCCAAACTGAGGCAGGCTTGGGATAGCCCGTTGCAGCCCTGATATGTTTCAAAACATCTGCCAAACTTGTGCTGCCATTGTGCATGTTTTTCAGCCTTATAGATAGAGATTTTGCATCTTCTTCTTTGTTGTCCTTACGCCTGGGATGTATACCCATAGCCGGGTCATGAAACATATTCTTGTACATTTTATAAGCTTTTGTTGTTTTACTTGTTTAGAAAAACAGGTAAATTCTAAAGAGATGTAAATTCTAAAGAGATTTACTTGTTTAGCTGACGGGGGTATTTAGTTGGAATATGAAACCTGAATCATTCTGTTATCAGATCTCTTTAAGTTATGCACAGGGATAGAGAACAAAGTACTTCTGCTCTCTGTGTTGCAAAGGCCATAGATCTCTCTTATGACTGGCATAATTGACCTGCATCAAGATTGAAATTAAAAAAAAAACTTTTCTTTTGATATAACCACACTTTTGATTAAGGAAAGCTCGTGCTCCTCCCTCTACCTCTTTTTTAAGTAAAATCTATTTGTTATCTAATATGAAAGAGCTGCTTGATCATATCGGATACCTGATAACTCATTGCCCATATGTTTGTCCACTATAATGGTCTCGGCGAACATCATCTTAAAGATGCTTATCTCAGGTACTAGTACTTATTCCTTTATAACACCCAAAATGTGTAATCCGAAAGAGTTACCTTATCAAAAAAGTGTAATGCTAAAGAGTTATACTTGTTACATTTTTTTATCTTTATCTGTTTTCTGTTTTGGTTGCTTTTATCAAGGATTGTCACCTGTGTGTGGGACATGGATTTTCTGAAATTTAGTTTTGTCATAGAATACCTGACATATTTACTTGTTCTCAATTAAACCACATCTGATTTCTCTTTTCTCTGATAAAGCAGTTAAACAGTTTGTTTTTATTCTATTTTTCATCTAGGTCGGCTTGAAACCTGGTGGACTTTTTGTTCTAAAAGAGAACATTGCAAAAACAGGTATCATCTCTTTGACTTCTCTGTTATGTGGAAATTAGTATCACCTACTTCCTTCTCGTGTTATGTTATTTCATCAAGTTGGGCATGATTTTCGGTTCTGTTGCACTTTTTATAAAAGTATAAAACGTGACAGGGAACTCTTATGTTTTTAAAATGAGAAGTGTAAAACAGCGATAAGAGTCTTGAAGTTTTAACCAACAAGTGAAGGAGACACTCGTTAAAAGTAAAGCACACAAGTAGAAAAACTCTCTAACATATAGAAATAGAGTAATTATATCATAACATTTGCTATTAGCATTACTAATCAAAAAATCCAAAATAGTGATAATATCAATCCCGACAACTACAATTAGCAATTTGATTTAAAAAATTCATGAAGAATAACTTCAATCCCAATACTTACCCTTTCAAAAAAAAAAAAAGATCACTTTAACTCCAATTTTAATTAATTGGCTATAAAAGATCAATCTGCAATTTCGAGATCATATTTAACTGCTATTGTAACAATACTCCCTCCGGTCCACAATAAGTGACCAATTTGCTTTTCGCACGCCCATTAAGAAAATACTAAATTCTATACAAAAATACCTAGTATGACTAAACTACCCTTAATTAAATATTTAATGTCAGAAGTAAGGAAACTTTTTAGGGATATGTACATAAGGGTAATTTTGTAAAAGCAAATTGAATTCTTTCTTGATTATATAAATGGACATTTATTTTGGACCAAAATAAAAAAGCAAATTGGTCACTTATTATGGACCGGAGGGAGTACTAAATATCATATGCCAAAATCTTCACCCACCTTGATAGCAGAACTCATATTGAGGAAATCCCAGTGACCCCGTAATGTGTTTCCATAAACAGAGACCGAGAAGGAAGGAGTTGGTCTGGTCATCCAAGGATTGAGAAGCCCGTACTTGGTGCTGATTACACCTCTCCTTACTGCGGTTTTTTCTTCTTGATTGAACCTCCAGATCCATTTTCTCAACAAGATGGTGTTATGCGTCTTCAAATCTCCGAGTCCCAAACCTTCTAGTTCCTTGATTTTCGTGTCAGTCTTCCAATTGACCAAATTTTAAGACTTCTCCTTATTCCCTTGCCATGGAAGTCTGCACGGATTTTCTCCAAATACTTAGACGCCTGTACTAGCATGGGGAAAAGAGCTATGATGTATGTGGGTAAAGAATCCAACATACTGTTGATGAGAACCAATCTACCTTCCAATGAAAGATATGGTCTTGTCCAATTTGACAACTTTTTGCATTTCTCCAAAATATCTCCGCAGATAGCGGTACAGTTTGATTTCCAACCTAGTGAAGCCCCAAATATTTCATAGGGAGTGAACCAATGTTGCAGCCCATAATATCTGCCAGCAAATGCATATTGGTGACAGCATGCATATGACTCTTTAATAAGTTAATGTGAAACCCTGAAACAGCCTCAAAATTCACAAGACTCAGGGTGTGTTTGGTATAACGGAAAATGTTTTCCGTGGAAAATGTTTTCTTGGAAAACAAGTAGTAATTTTATTCATTTTCCGGTGTTTGGTACGCAAATTAAGGAAAATGACTTCTCAAGAGTATTCATAAATAATTTAGATACAGTAAACATGAAGCCATAAACTTTCAAACCAACAACCTTCCGAATCCACAAATTTCATAAACTTTCGAACCGTTAAACTTTCGAAATCGCGGAATTTCTAATCCCTAAACTTTATAATTTCTAAGCCCGTAAACTTCCAAACACATAAACCTCCGAACTCATAACTTTGGTACTTGTAAAATTGTGAACCTTTAAACCGATAAAAAATAACTAAAACTGGAAAGGGGGGGGGGGGTGGGGGGAGGGACAAGAAAAAGTAAAAGAAAAAAACGAAAGTAAGTTAAGTAAAATTAAAAACGTTAAAAAAAGTTTTAAAGTTTTTT